GATGTGAAGTTTATATGAAATAATTCAAATATGAACTGCGGTTGTAGATGAAAGTGAAGAATGATCATCGCAGTTAATTTTCCAATTTAAGCAATTGGAAAGAAGAAGCTATAACTGCAACGCTGATGTGGTCGTGTCTAAAAATTAAAGCTTTCTAAAAAAAAACAACTGAGGATATAGTCTTGAATTACTTGTTACAAACTTAAAGCACAAACAGGGAAAAGGAAGATATATGTTACAAACGTGGCTCTTTGCATCGTTAAATGTTTTCTGGAGGATTTTCTCGGAGCCGCGTTCCGGAAAAGATCTGATCTAACACACTACGGTGTTACCAGAAGATGCACGTAAGCTTTATTGTTTTGATATTTCAGGCGACAAAGTCCCTGAGAACGGCGCATGCGAGCATGCGCTCAAACGATAAACACGATCGCAGCCGATCAAGTAAACCTTTCATTAAATATTCGTCTTCATTGTATTTTGATAATCTGTGGATCTGTAACTATATTTTTGTGAAGGTGAGTGAACTTCGAATTATTTCATGAGTAACTCAAAGGGTTGTGGTTCGTGGTTTGAATTTATCACTGTTAGTGCACCGTTTAGGTTGCTATTATATGAATTTGTTGCCTGGTTATGGTAGCTCCTCCCTTCGTTCCCTGGTTAACAAATTGAACTGTCTTTTTGACACAACAGGGAGGCATTAATTGTGTTCATCTTTAACTCGCTAATACATCCACGTACCGCTTCAGTAGTCTAAATTTGGTATTTGTTTTGCAAATTGGAATCTGTTGGAAAATTTAACGTAATTTTGTTGACCAGGGGAGTACTTGAATTGCAATTAATTCCATCTCAAAATATAAATCTAATAATTGCGGTTAACAGTCCCGTCTTCTTATTTTCACATGTTTGTTGTTTAGACCGACACGGCCAAATGCACAATATATTTGGGTTGGTAAAATTAACACTGAAACGTATTTGCCAAGTTAGCATGTGCCTTTATTTAAACCGTGTTCATTATACTTAGAACAGGTACCTCCAGCCTGCTAGCTGGTACCACAATTCGAACAATCGCAGTCGATAAGTCACATACAGATTCTATACTGTAAAACGACTCTTTAAGACCATTGGAAACAGCATTTCCACACAATTTTATTTCCAAACTTGGTGTTGATTTCTTATAATTTAACTCTTTTTTAGAAATTGTCTTAAATACCTTGTGGTTCTGAATTAAATGTCATTCGGCTGACAATTTTATATTCTTGTCACTTGCCGACTTGAAAATGTATTGATACTCCAAGTAGAATTTACAAACTGATCGTGTTAATTGAGTTCCAGACTGATCTATCTTGGTTTTAATATGAAACAAGTTTGACATGATTCTGATTTCGTTTCAGGGTTATTGCAATACCATCTTTTTTTTTCTTTTTGTTAATCACAGCTTCCTACGAGGCTGGAACAAACATTGACTGAATATAATTTCCTTGATTTGTAGCCATGTTGTTCCCCTTCCTTGTCCTGTGTGGATTGTTTGTTGCACAAGCTTCCCCTTTTGTCGACCCTCTGCCTTCAGCTCTAAGTGAGTGAAAAAATTATATCTAGTTAAGGTCTTCATAATTCAGTCAAGTTTCAATTATATTTAACTCAAATCCAATTTGTACAAGGATAATATGGCTATAAAAGTACAGCTTTGTGCAGGGCTTGTGAAATATTGGGTTTCAATCAGTTTGTAGCTTTTTCGATTGATTCATTTTTATTGTAATTTGTTGTCTGCTACTTTGTTTTTACTTTGACGAGGTCTTTCCTTTGAGGAGGGGACAGGCATGCCAGAAAGAATTGTAGGCGGGATGTGGTGTTGTTATTGTTGTTTTTGTTGTCGACAGAGTAATGAGCTTGTATACTATCGTATTCGGATGGGCTAAACACTGATCGCGTCAGGGCTCGAGAGAGTCCTTCCTTAAATTCTCCATCTTGAACAGTTTTTTCTGACACCCTGATTCTTTCCACATTCATAGCTCCTTTTATTTTATCATCTATTTGATATTTAAACAGTTGAGCCATTTTCCACGTCAATTCGCTGTCCTCCAACCAAACAGTTCAAGTGGACGCGATCGGACACTAGCGGGCTCGACATCGTGTTTTATTACACATGTGGGCAAGGTAAAAGTTCACTGTAATAGACATAGAATAAAGCATGGCCAAAAACTAATTGAATAATCAACGCTGTATGGGCGGATTCAGGTAAGTTGTTCATCCTTAATAGGTTTAGATAAAGTGACGAGGATTCATTGCTTTCACTGGCGATCCCGTTGTTACTATTCCAACTTAGTAAAATTGTATTAATATACTGATTGGCTGAACTATCGTTTACTATCAGCCATTAGCCTGCAGTAGCTGTAGATCGTCTGCAAAGTAACCGCGTCTTCTTTATTTCCCGAACATTTCGAGGAAGATTAAAGCAACAAATGGACACTTATCATCCTTAGAAGACTAAAAAAAAGATATTCATGGTTTCTTAACTTTAATAACTCGAAATTGTCGAAAACTCTAATGGGTGTGCGTAGATAACTGCAAACTTCAAATTTTCTGAACTACCACGTAGAGAAATAATTGGAAACAGCATTATTTGAAGTAGATTTCAGTTAGAACTCTACTAAAACAATTAGATTATTCGTGATAGTGATAGTTGATGAAGCTTTCAGCCTCATCAACTTTCAACTCTTATAGCTCACCACTAATTTTTCTCTGATATTTATTGGTTTTAATTGTTCACGTGACGCAATAGTGTTCATCGGCGGAGAGAAACTATTAGCCCATAATGCCCGTCGAGATCTGAGGAAAATTCCCGGATGGATAGTCTCATCTTTGAAAACGTTTCTGTAAACAAGTGGGCTTAGAGAAAAAACAAAAAATGAAAGACGCAATTATTTGTTTTGAACCAGCTGGAGGGGGGACAACGGTACCGAATCGATATCTCCACAACACTTTTGCTATGATAATGAACTTAATAGTAACAGTGTCGTTATACCTCCCCTCTCATTTATCAACTGTAAGAATGACCAAAATGAAAATTGTACGTTGATACCAGAAAATCACCACAGATGATTGACACAGTTAAACCTGATATGATGATGTTAAGACTACACTTAAACGGAGAAGAAATCTCATTAAACTTGAAATTAAAATCCATCTGAATTTATGCAACTTACAAAAACAAAAGAGCAAGCAAACAAACAAGTCAAACTTATACATAAAGTTTTCTCATGGAAACGTCCACCATCAGACAAATGACTGTGTACATTAAAGATATTAATATAAATCTTATTATAAATTATCAGATGAAGAAATGTCTCAAACTCTTCACTGCACCAACGGCTACAAGGCTCAATACAGAAAGGACCTCATTCCAGACGCCATGAGAAAAGCCGCCATTCCAATGGCCATGAAGAAGGGTTTTATCACCGGACTAGATCAGGAGCCTTCATTCGGACTTTTTTCAACAGGGCCCGACTACAGCACGAAAAATGGAGCCGTGGTGGTCTTCGCATGTCTTAATCCAAAGTAAGGATTTCATAGTATCCTATCTTACAGAAAAATAGGACGAAACAGTTGCAAACTAAACATAGGCATGTATCGCGTGCAAAATAGTTTTGCGCTAAGAGGCCACAAAATTAATTAAAGTCGAAATCATTCACCACCGAAGACTAAACAATAATGGCTAAAGTTTGTAGAGTAGTGGGTGAGAAAATTAAATGACAGGAACATCTAATGAACTCAGGAAAACCAAAGAAAGTGACAGCTAAGTTCGCCTTGGATTGCTGTAACTTGCGGTTTTACGGTTCAAATAAACTAACTTAACATTTCGTGCACAATTTTAGCTTTTAATTGAGGGAGGTACGATTGCTGAAAAGCTAATGCTTTGAATCCTGAATCGAGGGGTTCGGGATCGAGCTTTCGTTTGGGTCTTGTCCTTTTCTTTTAATCTAGAAGTGCTAGTACTAGTACTGGTAGCACTATTTGTCAAAATTTGGTTTTGATCATTTATTAAAGAACGGTATTCTGCAATCACCATCAATTACATATGTCACGATCGAAGAGAATCCAAATTCCCTTGTGTACACGACCGGCTCACATACACATGCTACCTTCCCACCTGCTACGACAGGAGCCAGAACACATTCCAACCGGAATCGGATCAGCGCAGTTTTATACTCCTTCCTAAAGGCGCTGTCCTTAAGGAAGAGGAACTGATAACGCCAACTGAAGCCTTCCCACAGTCTCCATCGAATTAAAGCGATACAAAAAAACAAAAAAAAAAAAAAACCACTTTCATTTCAATGAACGCTTTAAATTGTTTGCTGCGTTACGTCGTTTATCATAATGTGTTAAGTTCTGGCCGATATTTTTTGCGATCCCAAATGACTCTTCTTCCTATAGCGACCGTCCACAGTACGCTAAGTAAATCTTATCTTAATTGGCTACAATCGTTAATTAGCTCAATACGTATGCCTCAAACATCTACGTCTGCCGACCCAGCTTTCGAACCTCGAGAAAGACGCTAACAGTATTATCCAAGACATTATTCCAGTAATAAAAACTAACATATTTGACTTTCTTCCTAGCAAATAAAGGGGATGTCTACCTGACATGCATGACTACTATTAACTAGCGCATGGGACCTGCGCACGCATGATTGCTATTGACCAGTGCGCGTGACCAGAAATCAAGTTAGACCGTTAGTTACCGACATAGGCTCCGACGTAGAAGTCTTGTTTTTGTTTTATTTTTGATTAGTATTATTCTACGTGTAAAACTCTTTCGACATCGTTACAATAACCATTATATTTGTAGTTTGTACCTTCAGGTACTGGTTGTACATGTGAGCATATTTAATGCTCGGGGTTTGAGAATAAAAGGAATCAATTAGACTGTTTCGTCTTAACAATTAATTTTTAGCGTACAGTCAAGTTGAAATCGTTGCCACAAAATAGCACGTTGACCGACATACTTTATCCCTTGTCATATTCATTAACAAAGAGTATAGGCCATTTGCTGCGAGTTTGGCCACGTTTTGAAAAGGGTAAAGACAGCTACCGGCGTCTCCTTCGCCTCGAACCTTTCCCCTCCATCCTCCCTCCCTTCAGCCAATCCATTATAACGGTGCTTTTGTCACCTCATAGCCAAAAAGGTACCGGATTAAGTCCTACTAGCTGGCTGCTGATTGATTTGTTTTGGCAGCTTACTATCGAGTCGTGTAATTAAAGTCTCAGAAAAATTCCCGGTATCAGTTAACCAGTTAAAACGCACAGTTGCTTAAAGCACGATGGACAGTTTTTGTTTTTTGATTTACCGTCTTTCATATTTTACATATTCCACCATCTTACATTTGAGGAGTTAATTTAACTATCTGGAAAGCTTTGTTGGATCAGTGATCACAATTCACACCTTGCCATTTGGCTCTGAAGTGGCCCATTGTAAAGCGATATCTCAAATCTAGATCGGATAGCTTATGTGTTAATAAAGCTAAATGGAGATAGAATTTAAAATTGAGTAATAAAATTGGCCCAATTTTAGCGACGCTAATCGCTAGCTGTCAAAAACAGGACATAACATAGTTTAAAAAGTTGATACTGGAACTGCTTAGCATAAAATTTACCCACGTAGAAGAGTGAACAGAAAAAAAAATTAATTTCTTTTCCTCAATTAAAACACTGAGGAATATTCATCTTCTTTCGCTTTTTATTTACATTCAACAAAACTGGTACCAGTTGCGACCTGGTGCAGCTAACAAATAGTGTCCTGGAGAAGTCTAATGAGCTTTGTTTCCTTGAATACTACTTAAAAAAAGTTTAACTTCCTCTGATGTATTTAACGCCATTATTAGCGCGAAAATATACTATCACAGAGAAAAAAAAAAA